ATCCCCAGGATCTATGCCACTTAATGCATCTTTGGTACACATCTGTTAAAAATTACAATTTTCTTATTTCCAGAATAATGTATGCTTATTATAAACATATTTGGAAAACACCGAGAAGCTCAAAGAAGCAAATTCACAATTATCTTTAATCCCACCACCAGAGACAACCATTATGAGTGTTTTGTTATATTACTTTCAGTTTTTTTCTATATACACACATTTTTTTATACATTTGAGATTATACAGTACACAGTTTTTTGTAATTTTTTCATTCCAACAATATAAGTAAACATTTCCCCAGTCAAAAAATATTGCACAATATAATTTGCAATAGCAACATAGCATTCCAGCATATGATGTGCTGTAATTTATTCAACTAACCCTTGCTATTTGACCTACATATATGGGTTGATACAAATTTTTCACTAATATAAGTAACACTGCCAACTTCTGATTCAAAATAGCACATGGTAAGCAATTCTGACTATAACCTCTCCAAATTCTCAAAATTTCATTCATCCAACAAATATTTCCTGGGTGTGTACCATGTGTCATGCACTGTTCTAGTTGCTGAGGATAAAGAAATGAACAAAAATAGACAAAATTATCTTACCTTCACTGTAGCTTTCATTCCAGTAGGATGAATAGTAATGATACTACATGTCAATAATATACACACAAATATACAATACACTAGTAATATGCCAACAATAAAATATGAGGGCAGCTACCACTTATTAAATGTTTGCCATCTGTCAAACACTATGGTAAGCCCTTTCTGTGTAATAAATTCACAGATGCTATTATCATCTCCATTTTTCAGAAAAGTCCATGGGCATTCTAACTTTCTCCTGTCTGCCCCCTCCCTTAACCTAGGAAGACCTGGTATTGAATCAGTTAAATCGGACCCCCTCCTCAAAGGGAAGCGAGAGGAAGATGCCATCCCACAGAGCTGTGAAATCCCAAGTGAAAGCCTGTTTTAATCAAAGAAATGCACCAGTATCTGCATTGATCAAGCCTCACTTCAGCTGTAGCTGGGGTAGGAAAAGGGACCAGCATCTCCCATGAGACCACAGGTGATTTGCCTTCTAACTGCTGACAAGTATTAGATCATGGATCATGTGTTATTCAGAGCAACAAAACCAGAGACTTCCCTAGTGGTCCATTGGTTAACAATTCACCTTCCAATTCAGGGGACGCAAGTTTGATACCTGGTCAGGGAACTAAGATCCCACCTCCAGCTCTTCTACTGAGCCCACATCACAACAAAAGATCCCACATGCATGCCACAACTAAGACCCAACACCGCCAGATTTTTTAAAAAAGAGAGCGAGAACAAAATCAGCATGCGGTCCACGAAAAAATCCAGTGGGGAACAACAATAACAAAGAAACCAGATGCATTATTAGAAGGCCTAGAGGAAGAGCAAGCCACTGATAACCATCCATTGCTGCATCAGTAGGAAAATGCCAGGAAATTTTTTGCATCCACCAGAGGATACAAGACGACATGACCTTTCTGAAATATAGGATTACAAGGAAAAACAGACTCAGGTGAAAAGAACAGAGCAAGATAAATAAAAGTAGCATTAAAGGATTGATAAAGGAGGAATATAAGGAAACTAAAAACAATAGCAGATTAAAACTCATATCCCCACTCCCATTGCAAATGGTAGAATTGATGTTACCAAAAATGTTCATTAATCAGACAATACCACATACTGGTGAAAACCTGAAGTGATTGGAATTTTCCCACGTTCCTCATTAGAAAATCTGTAGGACAGAAGATGCACATAGCCTACAACCTGGCAATTCCACTGCCAGGCAGACACACGAGGGTAATGGTTCCAAACCCGCTTTCTAACACCCAGATGCCAGTCAGACTCTATAACCAGTTAAGCCAGAATGCCTTGGGTGGTGGTGAGAGGAGTTGAGCCACACATCAACAGACTGTTGTTGTGTTAATTCCCACGTGATTCCAATGTGCAGTCAAGTTTGGGAATGACTGTTCTAGAGAAATCCTTGTGTGTGTGTGCAGAGGATGGCATATACCAGAATGTGCACTGCAGCATTCTTTGTAATCACAAGAATCCAGAAGTTTCCCACTGTCCATGGGCAGAATTGATACAATGGGGTGCATTCACACAAGGAAACACTACAGCACCATAAAAACCAGTTGCAGCCATATCCATCAGCATGCATGACTCTCACAGACGTGAACATGGGAAGGGAGGAGAAGCAATGCACAGAAGAGCATGTGTAACTTGATTGCATTTGCATAAGAAAAAATGCATTAACTAGACAATGTAAAAAGATACGCATGTTCATTGTATCAATAAGACTATAAAGAAATGCAAGGGAATGATAACCATAAGCTTCAGGATAGAGGTGCCCAGGGAGGAGCATCTAAGATACTGTTCAATTTTAAACTGATGATGGTAGCCAGTATGTTATATGTATGTTGTGAGTATTATTTTGTCTGCTTTAATTATTTAGTTAATTTTTTTATTTTAAAAATTAAAAAAGGGGAATATTCATATGTAGGGACCAACCTGAAAATTTTTTTCAAAATTCAGAGAAAAAGGAAAAAGAAACAAAAAAATGATGAGAGAAAAGTGTATCTGTGGAGGACACTGGACGGTCATAATTATACCTTTTTTATTATTATTATTTTGTAACGTTCCCAGGTCGCTCAGCAGTAAAGAATCTGCCTACCAATACAGGAGATGCAGGTTCAATTTCTGGGTCAGGAAGATGCCTTGGAGAAAGAAATGGGAACCCACTCCAGTATTCTTGCTTGGAAAATCCCATGGACAGAGAGGAACCTAGAGGGCAATAGTCCATGGGTTTGCAAAGAGTCAGACATGACTGAGCCACAGAGCACATATGAATGCACAGCATCTTACATAAAAGCAGGAATTTTTTGGCCAACCCAACATAATGCAAAGAAAGTGGAAACATTTTCTTAAGATCTCACCACTCAAAAATGAGATTTTCATAAACAGATGAGGATAAGAACTCCCAGAATCAGAAACTATGAAGAAAAAGATTTTCCTAAGTACAAATACAAGTACAAACATAAAACAGCATTAAGATTATTGGGTAAATGTGTTGGAATGAGTTGACTGTATCTAACTCTTTGCTCCTGGCCTTGAATTCTTCCTTAGGTAAACTCCTGGAAGTAGAATTACTGACACATAAATAGATGTTCAAAAAATAGTTGTTAAAAGCATAAATGGACAGAGAAGATTCCATAAAAATAACATTCATACAGAAGAAAATTCTGTAAAACCATAGTGTCAAAGTTTAATTTTGAAGGGTGGACTAAGAGATGCCTTTTATCTGACTTTTCACTTAGTCTGTGTTTTTTTTTTTTCCTTCCCAACAATGAATACATGTTACTTATATAATAAAAGCAAAATGTGATTTTATAAGCAGGTGTACCAAGGGTAATTGCAGCAAGGACATTTCCTGGGTCTTTCCCGGAAAAGCTCATGTGGTAAAAGCAACCTGCCTAATTGTAAAAGACTAAGATAAAAGAGAGCTTGACAATAAGTGCTGGAGAGGGTGTGGAGAAACGGGAGCCCTCTTACACTGTTGGTGGGAATGCAAACTAGTACAGCCGCTATGGAGAACAGTGTGGAGATTTCTTAAAAAGCTGGAAATAGAACTGCCATATGACCCAGCAATTCCACTTCTGGGCATACACACCAAGGAAACCAGATCTGAAAGAGACACGTGCACCCCAATGTTCATCGCAGCACTGTTTATGATAGCCAGGACATGGAAGCAACCCAGATGCCCATCAGCAGACGAATGGATGAGGAAGCTGTGGTACATATACACCATGGAATACTACTCAGCCATTAAAAAGAATTCATTTGAATCAGTTCTAATGAGATGAATGAAACTGGAGCCCATTATACAGAGTGAAGTAAGCCAGAAAGATAAAGACCATTACAGTATACTAACACATATATATGGAATTTAGCAAGATGGTAATGATAACCCTATATGCAAAACAGAAAAAGAGACTCAGATGTATAGAACAGACTTGTGGACTCTGTGGGAGAAGGCGAGGGTGGGATGTTTCAAGAGAACAGCATCGAAACATGTACATTATCTAGGGTGAAACAGATCACCAGCCCAGGTTGGGTACATGAGACAAGTGCTCGGGCCTGGTGCACTGGGAAGACCCAGAGGGATCGGGTGGAGAGGGAGGTGGGAGGGGGGACCAGGATGGGGAATACATGTAAATCCATGGCTAATTCATGTCAATGTATGATAAAAACCACTACAATGTTGTAAAGTAATTAGCCTCCAACTAATAAAAATTAAAAAAATTTAAAAAAAAGAAAAAAGAGAGCTTGATTTTCAGCCAGATCCTCACAGTGGATAAACCTCATCATAGTAACCAGCCTCCCTCCATCCTAGCATCCATGTCTCTGGGTATTCTCGCCCTTAGGTGGTTCCCCTCCCAATTATATGAGAGTTGGTCTATGAAACCTACAGAATATGACAGAAGAGATGTTACTAGGTTTTAAAAGACACTTCCATCTTGGTCATTCTCTCTTTTGAATCAGTTGGCCTGGGGGAACCAGCTGCCAGGTCATGAGCAGCCCTGTGGAGAGGCCCATGTGGCAAAGAACTGAGCCTCTTGCCAATGGGCATGCAGGCACACCATCTTGGAAGTGGCGCCCCAGCCCCAGTCAAGCCTTCAGGTGATGAAGCTCAGATGAGATTCTGACAGGGCCCACACAAGACACCTGGAGTCAGAACCACCCAGTTAACCCTCAAAAACGATGTGGAATAATAATGGTTTATTGTTTTCAGCCACTGCATTTTGGGGTCATTTGATCTGCAGCAATGGATAACCAATGTACCCTTTATAAATGGAGTTAGTAACTTGCAGCACCAGGGAGAAGTAAGGGAAAGGGTGTGGGGTGGAGAAAGGGAGGTGAACGGGCCTTGGCTGCACCAAGCCTCAAGGCCGCATCCTACCTGGTACCCCATATTGGTGGGGCCAGCCAAGTACACAGCCACCAGCGGACGCTGAGGGCTAGTCAAGCAGAGAAGCATAGCCTGACAGAGAAAGGAGGGGTCCTCCTTCTCCACTTTCCACGGGAGACCCTCAGAGCTGGCACGAGGGGCTGCAGGGAGGAGGGAAAGAGGCGTTAATAAACAAAGTCATCTTCTGCTCCCCGAACCCAGGGCAAGGAAGCTCTCAACTGACATGTGATGAAAAATGACAACATCTGAACATGATGGCACATTTCCTCGAAATGAAGCTATTTTAAACTGGAAGTGGCTGGGCAGAGCTGATATTTATAAGATTGGGCTAACTTCATCTTTTCCACTACTGAGTATGAATAGGGTTTGGTTTTTTTGTTTGCTTGCTTTTTTGAGAAAAAGGGAAGTAAGTTATAAAAATAAAACCAACCTCACTGGTACATGGCTAAGTGGTTCAATCAGGGCAGGGAAGTAAATGAATGATGAGACCTGAGATACATATGCTGCCTCCTCTTGAGTGATATAAGCTGGTCAAGGTCCCCATGCAGATGTGCAGCACACTTTCAAGACCTTCCACCATTACCAATGCAGATATTTTTTAATTGCTTAGATTCTCCTGCCCTTATAAATAATGTTCCTTCCTAGACCAGCTGCCCAACAAAACTTTCTGTGATGATGGACAAAGTCCTCTATCCACACTATCCAATAAGAAAGCCACTATCCACACAGTTATCTATAGAACCAGTTATCTTAACAGCCACTACCACACCTGTGCTCAGTTGTGTCTGACTCTGCAAACACAGGAACTGTAGTTCACCAGGCTCCTCTGTCCATGGGATTTTCCAGGCAAGAATACTGGAGTGGGTTGCCATTTCCTCCTCCAGGAGATCTTCCTGACCCAGGGATCAAACCCATGTCTCCTGCATTAGCAGGCGGATTCTTTACCACTGAGCCACCTGGGAAGCTCCTTGATAGCCACTAACTGAGGGCTATCAACCCCTTGAAGGTGGCCATCAACTGAGGGGGGGGCATCCAAATTGTATTTAATTTTAATGAATGTAAATATAAATAGCCACAAGGGCTTAGTGGTCCTTCACTGACAATGCAGTTCGAGATGATGCAAACAATTCTTTTTTTTTTTAACTTTTTGGTTGCACTGGGTCTTCCTCGCTGTGCACAGGATTTCTCCAGGGCTCTAGGTGCATGGGTTTCAGTAGTTGCAGCACGAAGGCTCAGTAGTTTGGCTGACCCAGCTCTTAGTTGCAGCATGCACAGGATCTTCAATCCTGGTGGCGGCACATGGAATCTTTAGTTGCGGCATGTGGGATCTAGTTCCCTGACCAGAGACTGAACCTGGGCCTCCTGCATTGGGAGCTCAAATCTCAGCCACTGGACCACCAGGGAAGTCCCAGAATCAAATTTACAAAAGTATTTACAATAATATTTACACCAGGAAAATTTGAGCATAGACTGGATATCTGATACTCCTTAGGAATTACTAAAATTTCATACTGAAGTATTTACAGATAAAATAATGTGATTCTAATTTTGGAGAAGGAGATAGCAACCCACTCCAGTATTCTTGCCTGCGAAATCCCATGGACAGAGGAGCCTGACAGGCTACAATTCACGGGGTCACAGAGTCGGACACAACTTAATGATTAAACAACAACAACATCTGCAACTTGCTTTAGATAAGGGAGTGAGGAGTGGATGGAGGAAACAAGGTGGGTTAAAAATTGGAGTGTTTTTAGTTTGAGGAGGGTTGGTGTTTGGTTGATATTAACAACTGTAGAAGCTGGGCAATGGGTGTACAGACCTCCCTTAGATTAGTCTCATTACTTTTTTTTTTAATTTTGAAAACTTTAAGAGTTTTCACTAATAAACACTGAATTGTGCACTTAAAAAAAAAGTTTTTAACAAAATGGGAAAGTGCTCTCATCATAATATCCAGTGGAAGGAAAAAAGCAATCTACAAAAGGATAAATATACCATCAAATGGAGAATTTATACCTATGGAATGAAAGACGCAGCACAGTGCAGTGGCTAGGATCCTGATGGCTGAGTTCAGATTCTATGATACCCACTTGGCTTAGCAAATTTTTTTAGTTTCGATACACCTCAATCTCCTCATCTACAAAAATGAGGCTCATGCAAGAATGTATCTCTTAAAACTGCTGCAGAGATTAAATGAGCCTATTGATGAGATAATTAGCCAGTATCTGGCACACAAGTCCCATCATTACACCTGGAAATAGATTGATCAGCCGTTGCCATTAGACCACCGTATTATCCAATTTTCCATAAAAGGGACACCTTCCCTTTATAGTCAAGGAGGAAAATACTTTAACAGAATAGCTTCTTCTGTCATTACGCCTGTGTTCTGAGAAACTGTTAGCAAAGTAAGCTGATAATTTATCAGATGCTCTAAACGTCAGCAAAAGGAGAATCCCAGTTTATGTTTCAATAAGTGGAATTCCCTGTGAACACTGTTTTGTGGCCTTTACCACAAGACTAATTAGCAAAAGCATATTATGGAAGTTTCCTCTGGTCTAGGGTGGGGGTGGAAAGAGGAGTGTGGACTTGTTTCTGTGGTTCTCCTCATTCTCGACCACAAAGCTCTCCACACTGGTGGAAAGACCTTCTTTGCTAATAATGTATACATAATTTTCCCTTTCCATTATATTTGCATTTTTAAAGCAGTATATATCCTTCCATTGTCACTTTCTAGTTAGGAATCCCCTCCAAACCGAGAGTGCTTCTTATGAAATTTTATTTATCTTCTTCTGGTAACATGAAAATCTTGCCTTTATCCATTGCCTGTACCCTTCACATTGGGAGATGGACAAGCAAGGCCATAAATAAAGTCTGGACCAGCTGTCTTTATTTTTGCTCAAGAATAATAGCACTGTCTCTGTTACCCTGTTTCTATCTATATCACAAAGGCTGTTTTCCATTTTCTCCTATCAGTGGTAACAAGTTCACAGAAACTATACTAAACTGGAGACAGAGCAGGAGAGAGAATATTGGCTCATATAACTGAGAAGTCCAAGGGGTAGGGTTAGCTGCAAACATGGTTAAATCCAGGGGTTCTAATGTTTTCAGGAATTTCTCTCCATCATGAGGCTCAACTTTCTGCTATATTGACTTCCCTCTCAGATTCATTAAGATAGGTAGCATTCAGCAGCTCCAAGTTTATAATCTATCATCTCAGCCACTCTAAGCAAGAAAGACTTCCCTGTGGTGCAGTGGTTAAGACCCCATGCTTCCAATGCAGGGGAAAGCTCTCCACACTGGTCAATCACTCGTCAGGGAACCAAGATCCAAAAAGCTGTGCAGCAAGACCAAAATTTTTTTTAAAAAAAGAAAGTGTAAAGTCAAAGTATCAGTTGCTCAGTCCTGTCTGACTCTTTGCGACCCCATGGACTCTAGCCTTCCAGGCTCCTCTGTCCATGGGATTCTCCAGGCAAGAATACTGGATTGGATTGCCATTCCTTCTCCAGGGGATCTTCCTGACCCAGGGACTGAATCTGGGTCTCCTGCATTGCAGGCAGATTCCTTACTATCTGAATCACCAGGAAAGCCCTAAAAAAAGAAGGCCTACCCCATTCCCAATCATTTGAGTGAAGTCCTGGTGACAACTCTCGTTGATCCAGATCCGGTCACAAAGCCAAGCTCCAAAACAGTCTTTAAGATTTTGATTGACTATTTCTGGAAGCAAAGGAAGGAATCAACCCCCTTTAGCCAAATGGACTATGAGTTGAAGATGGAGGGTTTCCCTTCAAGATAAAGAAGCTGGTAAGAGAAGATGGCAAATGGATGCTGAGCAGACAAAAACAGCAGCTGTCCACTCCATATCCCGTAACAATATTTTTAAATGGCCTTTGATGGCACTGGGAAATCTCCTGCCAAACACATTCTTCCCTGTCTCTGTGACTCTCTGTCCTTTGCCAGGAGCCTTCTATTCCAGTATCTTGGGCTTTTTGCCCAGGAAATGAAACCCTCATCAACACCATCAACATCACCAGCTGTTCACTCCCAGAATCCTCTCCTTTCTCTTCCAAAGTCACAGTCATCAGCTGGATGAAAAGATGGAATACCACCTGTAGCCTCAAATCCTTCCAAGTCCTTCTCAGAACTTTAAACTTCCAGAAACATAATTCAGATTTCTTGTGACTGCATCATTCATCTACATATGAATCAGAAGAGATAGGTAATGGTTGGAGATCCTAAGCAAATACTCCATCATATCTTCTTATCTGTGCTCCAGATTAAATCCTGTATCTTGGAAATTCCCTGGTTGTCCAATGGTTAGGACTTGGTGCTCTCTGGGAACACAAAAGTTTTGTCTGTTTCTTCAATACATGTACTACAGGACAGTACTTGGCAGGATGCTGAGGACACACTAGATGATGCATGTCCTGTTTCTACTCTTGCCCTTTCCAAGTGCCCTTAAAAAAAAGAAATACTAAGCTGAAGATAGCAGTAGGAAGGGAACACCGAGGACTTCATCTGTGATATATTTTTCAAGCTCAGATGTGGGTATGTGAGTGCTCATTGTGTGACTGGCTGGTCTTCTGAAGTACTTCATAAATTTAAAAATTTGTAGGTTCCAGCTCAAGCTGACAGATTGAAAAGCTAACCTGATCACATCACTCCCCAGCTTGGCTCCCCACAGTCCACAGGATTGCATCCAAGTTTCTCTCAAGGCACACAAGGTCCAAGCTGTGGCCCAGTCTTCCTTCCTTCCACCTGTGATGGGCTGAATGTTTGTGCCCCCTTCCCCCTTTCGTGAAGATCTAACTCCCAATAAGATAGTATTTGGAGGTGGGGCCTTTGGGAAGTGACTAGGGTTAGATGAGGTCATGAGGGTGGAGCCCCTATGATGCGATGAGTGTCCTTATGAGAAGAGGAGGAGAGACCAGAGCTCCCTCTCCACACCATGTGAAACCACAATGAGAAGGCAACCTTCTGCAAGCCAGGGAGAGCTCTCACCAGGCACTGAATCTACAGGCCCCTTGATCTTAGACTTCCCTGCCTCCAGAACTGTGAGAAATAAATGTCTGAGATATCGTATTATTATAGCAGCCTTTTCACAGCCACTGCTTCATGCATCTTGAAGTTCAATGCTCTCTCTTGACTGGATGCTTTGAAATCTGTCTCTTTCCATTTCTCCATGTGGCTAACTCCTATAAACTCATTGTATTTGGTAGAGTAGGCTAAAATAGACCCCAGAATGCAATGGCTTAAAGAATATATTTCTTTCTGTTCATGCAGCAGTTGTGAGATGAACAGTCCAGGTGAATGAAGCTTTGCTCCTCATGGTTATTTGGAAATTCAGGTTCCTTCCAGTCTCTGTTCTGCCGACCTCCTGGTCCTCAAGATCATCTGCATGATGGAAGCTGGGTCACCATCACGTGCAAATTCCATCTGCAGGGAGGAGGAAGAGAGGTTGGAGAAGGCACATTAGGATGTTTTTTGCAGCCCAGACCCTGAAGTGGTCCACTTCATTTTCACTCATGCTATTGGTGATACTGTAGTCATGACCACAACTAACTGCCAGGGATGCTGGGAAATGTAGTCCTTCGTTAAGCAGCCATGTCCCTGACTACAGTTCTCTTATAATAGAATAATGATTTTCAACAAACAACTGAAGTTCAGAGCTTGAGTCCTCTGAAGAGCCTTCTCTGTTTCCAACCTCTCTGTCTGGGTGATGTTCCCTCTTACAAACAGTGTGCTCCACAGCAGCTATCGCAGCAGTTTCTTACCACTCAGCTTTTCCCATCCCCCTGCTCCCAAGTGGACTATGAACACAGTGGGTGTTGCTCTGTATCCTCATTGCCTGGCATTTGCTAGACAATGAACACATTTTGAGTAAAAGTATGGAGGACCAGCTACTTAATTTGCAGGGCCCAGTTCAATGTACGGTCCCTTGTTCCAAAAGGATTAGAATTTTAAGAAAAAGGCATCAGGAACTTCTCTGGCAGTTCAGTGGCTAAGATATTGTCATTCAAGGCAGGGACCACAGGTTTGATCCCTGGTTGTGGAGCTAATATCCCACACGCCTCTGGCCAAAAGTCCAAAACACAAAACAGAAGGCATATTGTAACAAATTCAATGAAGACTTCAAAAATGGTCCACATCAAAAAAATCTTTGAAAAAAGATTGTTTGGCCCAGGCAAGACCACAATCATAGGGTCCTCCTGAATGCAGATCCCTATACACCTACATAGGTCACATGCCCATAAAGCCAGCACTGAAAATTTGAATAAATAAATAAATAGAATTGAATAGCCTGAATCACCCTCCGGGAGAAAAGCCACATGTCTGTTGTATACCATGCAATGAGTGGAGATGAAACACGCTTGTCCATATTTGGGAAGCCAACTTTTGCTCTCTCTATGGGGGAAACTGACTAGAGGTCATCCTGATGGAGAGGGCATATTCCTTGTCATTGAGGGGGTGGGGACACAGCAGCTGGGGGGCTGCGAGCTCCCTGACAATCCAGATGCAGAACCTCTTGCCTTCTTTTTGTCTCCTTTCAAACAAGTCACTGCAGCAGCAGTAGTCGTCATGGAAATTTTCAGAGACTCCTGGGGCAGGGGAGACCTTAGAAGTCATTGCCAAGCAGTTCTCCAGCATCTGCTCAGACACCTCCAGCGACAGGGAACTTCCTACCTCCCCAGGCAGCTCCTTCTGTTTCTGACAGCTCTGCGGATGGAGCTCTTCCTAACAGGGGAGACAAAACCTCCTAGCTCGTGACTTCCATGCACTGGCTCAGAGCCACACAGAGGAAGTGTAACCCGGCTCCCATGCCCTTCAGGTGTTTAAAGGGCTCTGACATTCACCAGAAAGCAGGGGTTGCCAACAAGCAAAAGAGAGATGGGATATGGGCCACAGATGTATTGTGTTTGGCCCAGGCAAGATTAAATATTGGTTTTGGTTAGTTGCCAACATTGAAAAATCTGGAGGGTTCACATAAAATGGAGAATCTAAGCATCTAAAACTTGGAAGCTCCAGCAATACTGAGCTCATCCCTCAATCCTACTTGCCACTAAGGATGCTGAAGAATAGATACTGGGTAGGTGACTGCCAGTCTCCACCATGGCCTGTTGCTTGGGCTACTTGATATTGGTGCATATGCTCTTGACTTACTTTCAGAATCCTTACCTTGATATTAATGTGCCCAGACTCACTACTCTAGGAATCAACAATGAGATGTAAAACCAAGCTTTTTAATTGGTTTTAGGTAAAGTTACTTGAAGAGGCTTTCATGCCTTTTTTTTTCCTTCCTCCTCAGAATGTAGAGGAGGGTTGACTGGGGTTTCACTGGGGTTTCACCAACTACCTTGTGACCATGAGGTAATCTTGAAGATGAAGGCCACATATAGCAGTGTTTGTTGAAACAAATAGATGAAGCAGGATCTTGGTTCAACAATGATTATAGAACAGCCATGTCAGCTCTATCTACTTTTGAACTTTTTTTTAACCAAAAATGAATAATTTTAAAAAACCAAACCAAAACCAAAAAGCCAATTAAAAAAAAAAACCAAACCAAAAAAGTAAATTTAAAAAAAATTGGCTTTTTTCAAATTAAGTTTTTATTGTGGAAAACTCTACATGTAAAAGAATTAATTGAGACCTCTTACCTCACATCATATCTAAAAATTAACTCAAAATAGATCATACACCTAAACTTAAGGCTGAAACTATAAAACTCGTAGGCAAAAACATAACAGTGAATCTTCATGAAGTTGGCTCAAGCAATGATTTCTTAAATATCACACAAAAAGGCATAAGCAATAGGAGAAAAAATAAATTGGACTTCATCAAAATTTTAAAACTTTTTGCTTCAAACAACACCTTCAAGAAAGTTAAAAGACAGCCCACAGTATGGGGGAAAATATTTGCCAATCCTTTTTCTGACAAGAGACTTATATATAAAGAAGTATTACAACCAGAATATATAAAGAGGTATAAAATTTAAGATATTTTTTAAACATGATTTTAAACTGTGCAAAGGATTTGGAGAGACATTTCTCCCAAAGGAGATATACAAATGGCCAATAAGCACATGAAAAGATGCTCAACATCATTAGCCATCAGAGAAATGCAAATCAAAACCACAATAAGATACCCACTTCACACCCACTAGGACGGCTAGAATAAAAAATAACAAGTGTTGGCAAGGATGTGGAGAAATTGGAACCCTTGTGCATTGCTGGTGGGAATGTAAAATGGTGCAGCTGCTGTGGAAAACAGTTTGGCAGCCCCTCAAAAAGTTAAACATAGAATTACCATATGATCCAGCAATTCCACTCCTAGGTATATATCTAAAAGAAAGCAGAAACATAGGTATTTTTATATCAATATTCAAAGCAGCATTATTCACAATAGCCAAATGGTGAAAAATAACCCAAGTGCCCATCAACAGATGAATGCATAAACAAAATGTAATGTATACATACAATGGAATATTATTCACAATAAAAAAAGAATGAAGAACTGGACTTCCCCAGTGGTCTAGTGATTAAGAATCCACCTGCCAATGCCAGGAACACAGGTCCCTGGTCCAGGGAGATGCCACATGCCTCGGAGCACCACTAAGCCCATGCTAAGCCCATGCACTCCAAGTGGAGCCCTTGTGCCAAACTACTGAAGCCCATGTGCTCTAGGGTCCATGAGCCACAACAAGAGAAGCCACCACAATGAGAAGCCCAAGCATCACAACTAGAGAAAATCCATGAAGACCCAGCACAGCCAAAAAATATATAAATAGTTTTTTAAAATGAAGTATTGATACATGCTACAAACAGATGAACCTAGAAAACGCTGTTAAGTGAAAGAAGCCAAATTAAGGATCACATATTATATGAATCCATTTATATAAAATATCCAGAACATGCAAATCTATGGAGACAGAATGGAGATTACAGGTTGCCAGGAGCTGAGAAGAGGAAGAAAGGGGAGTGACAGTTAATGGTAAGGGACTTCTTTGGGAGTCGATAAGAATGTTCTAAATTTATTTATTTCTTTATTTTTTAGAATGTTCTAAATTTAGATTGTGGTGATGAATACTCAACTCTCCAAACTAAAAATCACGGCACTATACATTTGAAATAGGTGAATTTTATGGTATGTAGATTATGTCTGATTCTTGTTAACTTCATGTTCTTCAGCAACATATTGGATCTTTCTGACTCTCTTTTGCTTCACCTCTGAAAGGGGAATAATAACCCATAAGTTGTGTGAATTGAAAAGATGGCATAAAGATAGATTTATAAGATACCTCACTCAATGTCTGACACGGAATAGCCACTCCAAAGCTGTGGTTCCCATCCTACCGGCCATGCTTTATTAGTAAATATGAAATTGTGTTAATCTTGAATCACCATCTTCTTAATCATAAAAGATTCAGCTCTTTTTGCTATTATTGTTTTGATTTTAAGGAATGGACTCATTTCCCTAAGTGTACTATCTTTATATAGTAGTGATAATAACAATCACTAACATAAATAATAACATTTCACTCAAAGATGGGCTCAGTAAAGGACAGAAATGGTATGGACCTAACAGAAGCAAACGATATTAAGAAGAGGTGGCAAGAATACACAGAAGAACTATACAAAAAAGACCTTCATGACCAAGATGATCACGATGGTGTGCTCACTCACCTAGAACCAGACATCGTGGAATGTGAAGTCAAGTGGGCCTTAGGAAGCATCACTACGAACAAAGCTAGTGGAGGTGATGGAATTCCAGTTGAGCTAGTTCAAATCCTGAAAGATGATGCTGTGAAAGTGCTACACTCTATATGCCATCAAATTTGGAAAACTCAGCAGTGGCCACAGGACTGGAAAAGATCAGTTTTCATTCCAATCCCTAAGAAAGGCAATGCCAAAAATGCTCAAACTACTGCACAATTGCACTCATCTCACACGCTAGTGAAGTAATGCTCAAAATTCTCCAAACCAGGCTTCAACAATATGTGAACCATGAACTTCCAGATGTTCAAGCTGGTTTTAGAAAAGGCAGAGGAACCAGAGATCAAGTTTCCAACATCTACTGAATCATGGAAAAAGCAAGAGAGTTCCAGAAAAACATCTATTTCTGCTTTATTGACTATACCAAAGCCTTTGACTCTGTGGATCTCAATAAACTGTGGAAATTCTTCAAGAGAAGGGAAGATCAGACCATCTGACCCACCTCTTGAGAAATCTGTATGCAGGTCAGAAAGCAACAGTTAGAACTGGACAGGGAACAACAGACTGGTTCCAAATAGGAAAAGGAGTACGTCAAGGCTGTATATTGTCACCCTGCTTATTTAACTTATATGCAGAGTACATCATGAGAAACGCTGGGCTGGAAGAAGCACAAACTGGAATCAAGACTGCCGGGAGAAATATCAATAACCTCAGATATGCAGATGACATCACCCTTATGGCAGAAAGTGAAGAACTAAAGAGCCTCTTGATAAAAGTGAAAGAGGAGAGTGAAAAAGTTGGCTTAAAGCTCAACATTCAGAAAACAAAGATCATGCCATCCAGTCCCATCGCTTCATGGCAAATAGATGGAGAAACAGTAGAAACATTGGCAGACTTTATTTTTTTAGGCCCCAAAATCACTGCAGATGGTGACTGCAGCCATGAAATCAAAAGACGCTTACTCCTTGGAAGAAAAGTTATGACCAACCTAGATAGCATATTAAAAAGCAGAAACAAAACTTTTCCAACAAAGGTCCATCTAGTCAAGGCTATGGTTTTCCCAGTAGTCATGTATAGATGTGAGAGCTGGACTATAAAGAAAGCTGAGTGCTGAAGAATTGATACTTTTGAACTGTGGTGTTGGAGAAGACTCTTGAGAGTCCCTTGGACTGCAAAGAGATCGAAACCAGTCCATCCTAAAGGAAATCAGTCCTGAATATTCATTGCAAGGACTGATGCTGAAGCTGAAACTCCAATACTTTGGCCACCTGGTGCGAAGAACTGACTCATTTGAGAAGACCCTGATGCTGGGAAAAATTGAAGGTGGGAGGAGAAGGGGATGACAGAGGATGAGATGGTTGGATGGCATCACTGATTCAGTGGACATGAATTTGAGTAATCTCCGGGAGTTGGTGATGGAGGCCTGGCATGCTGCAGTCCATGGGGTTGCAAAGAGTTGGACACAACTGAGCGACTGAGCTGAACTGAACTGATAATAACAATAATCAACATTTATTGAGTGCTAATAACAATAATGAACATTTATTGAATGCTAGCTCTGCAACAGATACTGTACTAAGTGTTTTAGTATCTCATTTCATCTTCTCAGCCTCATTGTGTGTTAGGGATTATCTTAGAGAAGAGAAAACTCAGGTTGAGGTCAATTTACTCCCTGCAAGGTCCCACAACAAGCAAATGGCTGGGCTGGGATGCTAGGCCCACAGGCTCAGTTCCAGAGCCTTTCCTGTCTGGCTTCCCTATCTACTCGATGCTCTGCCTCTAGCCCACCTAGTCCCTCTCCTTTCTAAAGAGCACCACTGCCCCGCCTTCAGGGCAGCTTGTAATTTGGGAGGCAGTGGTTAGGGGTGGGGCAAGAGAGGAAGAGGGGCAGGGGGAGGAACAGGGAGAGTTGGGGAGAGGGCAAGCAAGAGAGAGGGTAGAAGCAGAACAGAAGTCACAGTCTTCTGTAACCTGATCTCAGGAGCGAGGACCTTCACTCCCCCTTCTTTTTCCTGAGAGTCATCAGGTGGGGCTTAGGAGGCAGGAGATGCAAGAGACAAGGGTTCGACCCCTGGGTCGAGAAGATCCCCTGGAGAAGGAAATGGCAACCACCTCCAGAATTTTTTGTCTGGAGAATCCCATGGACAGAGAGAGGAGCCTAGCGGGCTGCAGCCCAGGGGGTCCCAAAAGCATCGGACATGACTGAGCACACACACCGCACACAGTGAGCTTGGGAACAGACCCTTCCCCGGTTGAGCCTGAAATGACTGGCCTGAGCCAGGGAACCTTGCTAAATCTCACCAGGATTCCCAATTCACAGAAACTGAAAGATAATGTGTGTCTTGAGTTGCTTCATTTCAGAGTAATTATTATGGAAAAACAGATAACTAATCCAACCACTGACTATAGAGAGTTCCCTAAATATACCCTTCATCTGTGCCTTTAACTTCCAGCACCAGATTAAAGAGCTCTTCTAGTAAACACCCCTCAGGGAAGACCGAAGGGCTTCAGGCAAGATACCCTGGAGCAGAGCCAAGGACCATTGTATTGCCAGTCTGTGGGAAGGAGGCTTATTCTTTGAGGAAGTATGTTCTCAACCAGGGTCAAAAATTGGTTCTCGGGAGGTAGAAGAATCTTATCCTTTGTACATATAAAGCACAGATATGTGTACAATACATAAGCAGGCATACAATATATCCATGGTATTAACATTTCACAGGATTGGGGAGGAGTGGATAATGGTAATAAAAAGTTGAGAAAACACTGCTTCGGGATGACAAATCTTGCTGCCCTGTGCAGGCTGGTATACTGCGGTGAAGAATAGGACAGCAGAAGCAGGAGGAAGCAGGACAGAAGATCTAGAAAGCCCTAATAAGAAGACTTCTAGAAGCCTGCTTGGGGCCTGCCCCTGCCGGGGGTGCTTCTGACATCCTGAGCTTCTCCATTGTGGAATTTAGAACACTCTTAATTTCCTTTTCACTTGTCGGTAAATCTGTAGAAGATGTGGACTGAGCCAGCCCGGGCCTGGCACGTAAGAGGAGGTCAAAGAAAGACTGTCCACAGCTGGTGGTGCCCTGGGCCGTGTCTTCCCAGGCTCAGGACTCCCTGCGAGGCACCTGCATCCCCCCAACCCCCACCCCCAATAGGGGTTGCTGACCTCACAGACCCAGCAAATCTGACCACCACAATGTAAATTCTGCAATTTCTGGACAATGTGAAAGATCCCATTGCTTTATGGTAATACTTCATGAACAGGATCAACTCAAAGGTAAACAGGTAATCAAACAACCACATGACAACTCAAATCCACTTAAACTTGGGGTGAGAACCAGGTTAGAGGTGAGTTGAGCATCCATCTTGGTCCTCCTCTGAAGATTCAACCTGCTATGACTCACATCAATATCTTGGCCCCAACACTCATGGGTTGGGGAGCCTTAAGAAAGTTTATTAACTTTGCTATGCCTCAGTTTTCACATTTATAAAACAAGAGTAATTACAGTTCATCCTCATAGGGTTGTTGAGAAACAAAATGAAGTGATGCATGTAAAACACTTTGAATGCTGCCTAGTATATAGTAAGTGAGAGTGAAAGTGAAGTCGCTCAGTCATGTCCTACTCTTTGCAACCCCA